AGAGGTACATGGTTTGCTATGTTCAAGCAAATTAATTCAATATTAATAAAATCAGTGGTGAACACTTTCTAGAACAACTGTTCAATTGACTGATTCTTTTTGTTGTTCTGATTCTGACGATTGTCAAAGTCCAAGTCCTCGAGACTCTCCATCAGTGCCCATCTGATGTCTCTCCGCCCATTACAAACGAGGGCCATTTTTAAGGCAAGAGCCGATTGCGTATGGTGCCCGCGCATCCTGTGACGTGACGTTCGTTCAACCTCAGACACTCTGGGCCAGTATCTCATTACGCCGCTATTACGTTTTACACCTCTGTTGGTGTTGATTGAATAGTTATACTACTTTGTTTGTCGTCATGTCAATCGATAAACCGGCTGATTGTGAAGTGCGCTCAGTCTTTAAAAGCAAAAAAGTTCCTTCTGCTACAGCAGCTTGTTGAATTAGGCGCGATATACAACCTTTTTTCAAAACTTAAGGAATCTGTTGATCAAAAGGACTTGGAAAATGATGTCATATTGAAAGACAGTTACTAGCTGTTTGAACGGTCAGGCGTCATCGTTCTTTGACGACGAGATCCAAAAGCTGGTGCCATAACCTGACAAATGTTTATGGTAACTGATGAAAAATGAAAAAATGTTAGTTTGCGATAGAATTTACATTCGTCAATAAAGTTTCTCTGACTCCAATACAAAAGGGGTCTTACTTTGAAAAAATAGCTGTCCTACTTCAGTCATTACGTTCTGGTCTATTTATGTTCATTTCAATTTGGATTAGAAACACAATACATGGGATACCAGACTATTATATACTTATACTGACCTGTACAAAGTACACTGAAAGCATCTGAATACAGCGATTGTTTTTGAAAGACCGTCTGTAGCAGATCTTCTGGACCTGTCAGCCTGTCACGTCACTCACAGCACAGGAAATGCGTGTTAAATCTCTCACAAGCTCAATATTATCTCTTGGACGAAAGTACACATTTTCTCTTGTTGAAACAATACAGCTCTGTTTCTGTTTGGTATCTGCTGGTATTTAAATCTTGCAAGGAAAAAAAAAGGTGGTGCGATTTGACTAGGAAAATATTTATATTTGTGTGGCAATGCGTGCCACGCTATGGCAAAGTATTGTTGACATTACATCAATTAAGTTGGAATGAAACAAAAGACCATTTATTTTTATTGCTACTTACTCATTTTTGGCTCTTAGAGTGTAATATTCATAAATATGCTAATTAATTTTGACTACAGATAGTGGTAGTAGTAGTTTATTGGCCTTTTGCACAAATGATGTTTATGCAAGTCAAGAATTACATAAATATATAAAGAGTAATCCTTATTACATTAAATGAGTATGTAAAAAGGGTACAGAGATCTATCTGTTAAATGAAATTTTCACAATATCACAATAAGACAATAGACACATTAAAATGGTAAGTCGTTAGATCACTAAAATTATTGTTGAGGCACTCCCCAAATGAGAAAATACATTTACTAGTTAAATATTTTTTAATTGTTCGCATGAATATGTTGGATTCTAATTCCCTTATGTTATTTGGTAACACGTTGAAAACAACTATGCTGTAGTGATTGCGAGAATTTCTAAATCTTGTCAGTCTGAAATTCTCCAACTGGAAATTTTCTTTGTTTCTTGTATTGCAACAGTGCAAATCTGCATTTTATGCATATTGTGATTCATTCTGCTTGATATAACTAGTCAAGCTAGGTTAAACACACATGGAAATCTCAGGACGCCTAACGAAACGAGAGCTTCCCTACAAGACTCCTGTCCCCTAGATTAGCAGCAGCTCTGATGTATCTCTTTGGAAATCCAAAAACGTGTTTGATATAGGATGAGTGACTCAAATTGAATACAGCATAGCTCATGATGGAGTGAAAATATTAGTAGCTAATAAAGGTATTATTATTATTATTATTATTATTATTATTATTATTATTATAATTGATCCAGTTCAAAGCCACTATATCAACAACGGCAATATTCATAAGTAATATAATAAGGGCATCTAATTTTTCCGAAATGAATCGAAAAAATACGTTGCTAAGTAATGTTTTTTGATAAAAAAAGATTATTCTGGATTGTTTTTTCCGATTATTTTCACAGGAAAAAAATAGATGCCCGAATGGTATTTGACAAAAATATTTCAGGAGTAACAGATTATCCTGCGTACACAAGTTTACAAAACATACTACCTATGCTAGATGCATACATAGGTAATAAATATGTAGGTATTAATTTGAAAACTGAAAAACCGGTACTTTTAGCTTTGTTGCTCCAAAGTAGTTTCCAAGAGCTCGTATTTCTTTGGAAATCCAAAAACGTGTTTGATATAGGATGAGTGACTCAAATTGAATACAGCATAGCTCATGATGGAGTGAAAATATTAGTAGCAGATTAACAGCGTTGGTTGAAAAATATGTTTGCTTAATTTTCTTGATAGTAGGTGATAGACGGTCTGTGACTGTTGAACGCGGATGTACCACCCAGCGGATCTCTAAAGGCGGGGCCAGAATGTGTGCATGTTGGCATGCACACGTGTTCCCTCGCTAGAGTCCGTGTGATGTCCCCCTATAGCCCCATGGTACTCCATGGGTGGTTAGGCCTTAGGTCTTCGTGGTGGTTCAAATATAAAAAAAGCTCATATATAATATGATGTTCCCATGTCATTTACGAATCAAAATGGGTACCAAGAAGATTGACATTATTATTATTAGTAGCTTTTAGGGTACTGCTATTTTTTTTGTAAGTTTAACTCCTTTGTTTTATTTTATTTATCTTTTTGCTCGCTGTCACGGGCTGTAGCTATGTTATCTGATTGGGTCATTCTGGTCAAATTTTGAATGAGGATCACAGTTCTCGATATCATTTATGCAAATTGAAAATAGTTTGGGATCTATTATAGAGCCCTGAGGAACACCATAATATATGAAATCTAGTGCAGATGTATTTCCACTAAAAAACACATATTGCTGCCTGTCTGTGAGATACGCTTGAGCTTGATGGTTCTAATTTATTGAGTAATATCTCATCTGAAACGCGGTCAAATGCTTTGGAGAAATCATAGATGAACACTGGTGGTGATTTACGAATCCGTCTAGTATATAAATCCGCTACCTCACTCACAGCCGATGATGTTTTTTTTATCGAAAACCGTGTTGTGATGAAGTAAGCAAATTGTTGCTTTCAAGGTATTGATTAATTTGTTCATTTAGCAAGTATTCAAGTTTTTTTGCAAGAATTGGTACAAGAGCTATTTGACGATAATTATTCACTTCTTCTTTTTCTGAGCCATCTTTTTATTTATATATTTATAGGTCTTAATATCGCGATTTTGAGAAACTAGGGAATTCTCCTGGTTCTATACAGATATTTATTAATTTGGTTAGAGGTATATAGATGAGGTTTTTGAGTAATTCTATATGTCTTGCTGTGATGTTGGATGGATCTTTCTGGTCATTCTTTTTTTACTCTTTCTTGACTTCATCTCTGTAATGTATGCGATGACATTTCAAAAAACTATAGGTAGGTAATATGACAACTTAACTCCGAAAAACAGAAGCTGACTTCCTGGTTCCTGGCAAAGTTTGGCCTTACATGCATCGTTATTATACCTAATATGTCACAGACTCTGTAACTTGTGTAAACATGAATTCCTTTACTGTATATAATTTGGGACCATAAACGAGCACGCAATAAAACCATATCTTCAATCTCGGATGCCTATCACCGTGACAAATAAAAAATAACATGAACGTTCCCAAAATTAAACGGGTATACCTCCCAGTGGCGGCTCGTGCCAATTCAGTGAGGTAGTGCCAGCATGGAAGCCATAATTTTGAATCGATTCAAAATTGTAAAGAATAACTTATAACTTACCCCTGATAGTTAGTGGTCAAAGTTCTTGAGGTTCAATAAATCTATATGTCCAAAAAAAAATCAAAAATAAAACTATTTACACACGCGCACCAAATTATAAAACAAGTGTGGAGAAGTACCTATAACTTCAAAGTTTTCTATACATGAAGTCCATTCTTCTTTCTTTTTTGGTAGCAAAGTTTTCGATTACCTTATTATTAAAATTTTCAATGCCACTAACAAAATGTTTTTCTGCAGACAGCATTCCTAAAGCACTAAGCCTTTCTTCCTTCATTGTGTTTCTGAGGAAAGTTTTAATCCGTTTCAGCATTGAAAAAGAGCGTTCTGCTTCAGATGTTGACATCGGTATAGTGATTAAAATACTTAAGAGCTTAAGAGTTTCTTGAAACGTACAATTTAATCCTTCCTCGTTCAATAAAATGGATAGTGGAACAGCTCCAGAAGTAGTACTCAATTCTTCTCTCTGATATAATACTTGTAACTCAGTTTTAAGCCTGTTTTTGTCTAAAAATGAAAATTGTGTGCATGTGTCATTTAAATGTGCTTCAGGAAACTGATGTTTATAAACAGAAAACTTTTCAGACACAAATAAATTAGAAGCAACTAAATGTCCAGAAAAGTTAAATCTTGTTCTTATTTGCGATAATACTGCATCGCATATTTCTAACGCATCCCGTTTTTTGCTGCCTTCTTCAACTTGCCTTTTTTTTCTTGCCGGTTCATCAGTTTCTCTCTGCACTCGTTCAATCTCGTCAATAATGCTATCCATTTGTTCTCGTATAGTTTGAATTGCTGCTTCAAAATTCTCTAAATCATTTTTGACCTTAACAGAATCGGTGCATACTTTTTGTAATTGGTTAAAGACAATTTCAACATGTGGCATTATTTTATGGAATATACTTAGCCAAAATACAAAATTTGTATCTTGCAGCTTTAATTTGTACCCACTGGCTTGATTAATCGACGAAGAATCGCGTGAAGTACTTTCTATATTGTCCATAACTTCAATCAGGTCTTTCCTATTTTCATAAACTGTATGAACACCTCGTGACTGAAAATTCCAACGTGTTTGGGAAGATCTTGGCAATCTGCAATTAACTATTTCATCCAAAATTTTTGTTCTTTGAGGAGACGTCGAAAAAAGAGCACAATCCAGATAAATTATGGAAAAATATTCTAGCCTGCTTATTGACAGAGCATGCGCTTGTCATAATTAGATTTAACTGGTGTGCATAGCAATGAACATAATTTGCAAGTGGATAAGTTACCTTAATAATTTTTTGAACGCCATTCAATTCACCACTCATAACAGACGCACCATCATAGCTTTGAGCTATTAATTTGTTTGGATTTTGATCTAGTAATGGATTTACAACATTTAAAACGCATGCAGCGTCGGGGACGTAAAATCTCCAAAATCTCTCAACTGGTTGTCCTTTACACAAATATCTGAAAATAATAACTAACTGAAATTCACAGGCTACGTCAGTCGTTTCATCGGCAATTACTGCAACAAAAGGAGAATTTGCAATCTCCTTCTTAACTTCTTCATGATAAACATCTAGCATGCACTCAAGAAGCTCGTTTTGAGTTGTTTTTGAGGTACCCTTGAAAAGTTTGGCACTTTTAATATGGACTTTCAATTCGTTGTCTAATTCGGCGCTAAAATTCACCAGCTCCTTAAATATGCCACTGTTTTCCGAATTTTCCTTTTCATCGTGACCCCTTAAGGCTAACTCAAATGCTCCACAAAACCTTATACAATTAATAATTTTATTCAATACATATCGATTCTTATCCACTTGATTATTATGTTTAATTAGATCATTGCGATAAGCCGAATTGAGTTGAGTCCTTATATTTAATTTACCAAGAATAGAAAAGCTAAAAACATTATTCATATGGACTTTAGATTTTTCGTGGGTCTTCATTTTATCCCATATATGTATAAGATCGTCTGTACCTTTTTTTGACCAAGTCTCGTCACCTCCAAATAGAACACATACAAAACAAAATAGTTTATTCGTTTCTTCACAACCACATATACAGCTGTTTTTATCGTACACATTTTTATTAAATTTGCGACAGCGCGATTTTTGTCCGCTACCACTTTGTTTCTCAATTTTTAAATCGGGTATTGGCCATCCTAATTCTTTAATTTGCAGTTTTTGATCCAGCGAAAAACCACTAAATGAGTTTTTTAATATCCCGATTTTATTCATTTTCACTAGTTTTAATAAAACAGTAAAAAATATGATCACAAAACAGAGCAGTTCATTAACACTAGACGTACTAAAACAAAAAAGGTATTTTTCACTTTTCAGGTAAAAAAAGACCGAAATCAGCACTAGACGTAATCATAACGAAACGACCGACCGAACAAAAACACCGCCGATATCACTTGATAACGAATTACAACTGATGATGTGCCTGGCACAAATTATACTTGTCTTTCGCTATTCACCTCATATAAAAATGTGTAGGGTAGCGTTATCTCTGTCGCTCGAATGCGATGCTAGTAAAATTTCTCTCTTTTTATTTGCTCCGGCCCAAAATTGGCACAAGTTGATGACGTCAAGGTCAAGGCGTGCTTTCCGTTTTCCGTCTCGCGTAGTTCGGGTGCTTGCGGTGTTGTCACGTTGTCAGTGTTGTCACTTCATATAATTTATAGCAAAAAAAATGAAAAAGCAGAAAATAAAGTAAAACATTGAAGATTGAAAAAAAATATTCTTTTTGAAGAAGACAAGGTAGTGCCATGGCACCGTGGCACTACCTCACGAGCCGCCACTGATACCTCCGATCGTTATTTTGGATAAGTAGCCTCTAAACACACACGACGAGCATTTCACTCGTCCACATTCCCGTCAAAAAAGACAACGAGAAACATTTATACCGGTTGTAATGTCGGTATCGTTTTCGTTTCCAACGCCTAATATCTTTAAAAAACCATCGCAGTGTCATGTTATACCCCCTGATTTTCCACCACGACCGATTCACGTATCATCTCTCCATCTTGCTCTTCGCCATCAAGTAGGCGGCCAACGGGTAATGACATGGGCGGACATTCTGTCTTTTGACCTGGGGGCAGGTGACACAAATGAGGGGTTCAACTGGAAAACTCACAGTCTTGACTCACGTTGTTTTGGAAACTTTTAACAAAAATCTTTCAATAATGGTTTATTGTTCTCGGTTTTGAAAGCTACATATTTACAACATTGATATAAAGTAAAAGTAGAGGAAACTGCCTTAAGACAGACCTCTTCCCTAAAGCGAGCTCCTGACCTTATTGTATCTTGTGAAACTCCATTATAGCCAAGTGTAAATAGTTGCCTAGGTATCTCACACGTCTCGACATTGTTCCACCATCTCGACACAAAGGAGCGGTTGGACCGGCCAGTTCTGGATGTACGACAGAGATAGGATGGGGTGCAGAAGCCTGGCTGGTCCGTCTGGCAGGCACAACCCGCGAAAATGGAGGATAGCTCTGAAGAACAAAGTCCGTTGGCATAGCGGTAGAAGAGAGCCATATCGCTAACCAGCTGGCGATGTGAACTCGAGACCGCTAGAAAAGTGTCATCGACTATTCAGACATCCTCTGAAGTACATTGAGTATGGACAGGGTAGTCAGAATTACCAAAGGTAGAGCTCGGAGGGGGGTTATGAGGAGGAAAGTACTTCTCAGCCCTAGGCAATTAACCCAATTTTTCCCAGCAGCTGTCGCGATTGACGAGATGTTTTGGTGTCAAGTCCTCGGTCATCTGGACTCCGACCTGCTGAAACGAATACCTCTGTATCAAAACCAGGCCATCCATCTAATCCCGATACGCGCTTCTTGTTACTCAATGTGCTGTGGTTTGGAAACATCAATTTGTACGAACCCATTGCCTCCTCAAGCAGTGGTAGCTTCAAGATTTCTTGTCAGGCAGAAAGTTTCCCGTAATCTTCTCTCCAGCGCATCGGCAGATTGCTTGGCACCTTCTTCGCCTGCGTGGAAAGTACCATCGTCGGCAAAGCTGTGGATCGGATAGATCGTACAGAAGTACATTCATACCTTTGCGGGTGTTTAAATATGAAACTATGAATTTGGGAAAAACAATCTTCTTGCCCCTCGATACAGACACCTATGGGCATAACGTGTACTGAACACCTCGCGCTGGCCGAAGAATGAGATTAAAATCAGGTAAGTCTGTTGAACACAAATTTGTCGGGAATTTTTAAGTGTTTTATTTCCTTGGCGGTTCCATCCCAGCAGGGGTCTATTGTGGACAATATTTACACCAGCTAGCGATCCATAAATTATTTGGCGATTTTATCATTCCAACGTGACAGATCCAACCATATATAACACTTTAGTGGATTCGACTGGATCACTGAAGGATTTGTCTTTGCAGGGTGTGGACGCGACTAATCGTTTTCTTGCATGGTATGGAGTCAAAAATGCTATGACGTGAATGTGATCCACAACAAGATCTACATCAAACTGCGAAAAGTGTGACTTAAAACTTTATTAAAGCAGAAGTTATTCGGAAGATGGCACCTAGCTGATTAGGTTACAAGTCACTTACATGCGAACAGTAACTACACACAACTCGGGTACGGTGGTGATTTTCCGCAATTCTCAAAAATCCTAATTTATAACTTTGAACATAACCTGTCTTCAGAAAGGACAACACATAAATAACCCCTCGGGTACAGCTAATAGATATACTTCAATTCCAGCATATTCAGTAATGATTTTCTCACACAGCAAATTTCACTGATTTTATACAATACCAATACACACAATCATCCAGATGCGATCTTGCCATTCAACCTACTTTATTCTCAGAGATGAAAACTATAGCCTACTCGAATCCACAAAACTTATGCAACCAACAATGCGAGTAGTTGAGCTATTCCTCCATAGATGGACGTTCACAATGATCCTAGTGAGCAAACGTGGAAGGACTGTTTCCACCCTAAAAACTACCTAGTCTGCAAGATGACATTTTATAGTTTTTTTTCCTTTTATAGGTTTTTTACATAATACCAATGCCGGTTGCACGGCCTTGCCAAGGTCGACTTTAATTTAAGTTGATTCTTAATTTTAATATTTTTGTTACACCAGACACACTTAAAACTTGAGTGAAACTGAAATAGAAAGATGAGTAATGTCAACGAATACCTCTGGTTAAGGTGGATTTCCTAACAGTAGCGGATGTAGAATCTCCGCGGCCCTAAGCACAAAGCTTGTAAGTTGTAAGCTTGTTCAGTTGAAGAGCGGGGGGATTGCTTGGAACGCCAGGATTTTGGGTTCTGAGACATGTTTGGGTCCCGAGGCCGGCTGTACAGTGCATTATGTGCGTTATCTTAGATCCGGTCCCGTTTACTTTAGTTTTGGCAACTCTATAATGGAGTATCTCCAATTACCGTTTCAAAGATTTAATGTTAGAAATATAATAATTAGAACGATCTATTATGAGTTGTGTCATCAGCGCTTTTCCCCAAAGAGAAACATCCTTGATCACCGAGACTAATTCATCACCTTTGTATTACTCAAGAAAGTCAACTGATTATTTTCCTCTGTATTTAGTCAAGGGCTTGAAGTATTACGGCAGGTCAGGTCAGGCGACAAATGAGGCTTCTAGTTGTATTTCCCTTTCTATTCTTGTTTTCCTTCAGAGTACACCCGTATCAAGATGTGATGGGCTTATGTTCTTGCTTAGGTACTTTCGTTGCACATCCATGTGGCCCTGATGAAGCCAATAAGCAGAAACGTACGTCGCTCGGGTTACCAGTCCTATTTCTGCTCCTGTTACTTTATTGCGGACATGCCCACAATTGTACTTTGTTTTTTTATTGTAAACACTTGTTATGAAAAAAATCGGACAGCGAGTTTGTTCATTAAGCACTTCTATAGGCCTAAATTCCTTGTTTGTACTTCAATAAAAAAATGAGTTATGCAATACAAGGTGTTCCTTAATGATATGCGAATATTTAAGGGTGTGAATCTACATGAAAAATTAATGTTAGTTTGCTTTATAAACTATGGTTCAAAAATGTTTCCTTACAACAACTCGGGGTGTTGAAGTTTCAGGAAAAAAAAATGGAAAATAATTAATATTTTCAGAACCGCTTCAGATATTTCACTGATATTTAGTACGCATTGAAAGTTAATAAAGTTGCATATTTTTCAATGCAAACATAATTTTCAGCTTTAACAGTGGCGTGCGTACGGGTATTGGCTTCGATATTTTTTTAAGAAAAAAATAGTACGCCAATGGTTTTTTGCCAAGTTAAATTATTTTTGAATTCCACATTCAATTTAAAACAAATGATCTCTCTTGAATTGTTTTCCTTCGATGCGCCATTTTTGAGTAAAAAAATAAAAACCGTTCTATTGTCCGAGAAAATTAATGTAATAATTAAAGAATGCAATTTAGCAATAAATATCTAGTTGCTCTGGAATATGTCACTGGCTTTTGGCATCTGACAAGTCTCTGTTATTCAAATCTGTTCGCTGTGACATCTTTTTCATTATTTAGTTTTTACAATCTTGTTAATAATGGTGAATTATTCAAATGCAGAAATGGTGAGCAAGCCAGTCGGATTTATCACCAGAGATATCCCGATCGTGCTTTGTCAGATAGTCGAACCTTTTCTAATATTCATCGTCGTCTTGTTGAAACTGGTTCTGTCTGAAAAGGAACATCTGAAGGTAGACCTCTAAGTGTGAGAACACCTGAAATTGATTAAGCAGTGCTGCACGAAGTCGA